TTTAAATATTAATTTAATCCAATTAACTTGTGATTGAATAACTAATTAACTAACTTGTGATTTTATGAAATTCTACAAAATTCTAGTCATTTTAGGATGTACATAATTTGCTCTAGACAAGTATTTTTTGAAAATTAATAATAATGGACAAGTTACATCATGTTGGCTATGGCACACTAATAAGCACAACACGTTGATATGATTAGCATTTTCTATACTCTTCTTTTCCAATTGACTACAATGTTTCTCCACTTATGCATGTACCTTTAGTCCTTTACTAAGAAATGCGATAGTGATATTTGAATTAATATTTATGACGTATGAATCATTCTTAAAGAACTCTTACTTTTAATTTCAAAAGTCATATTAACTTCAAAGTATTAATTCAAAGAAAAATAGAATTTTTCGATTTATGACTTTCGGATGTCATTTTTCAGATTTTCAAATATATAGGTACTCAAAGAAAATGAAGTAAATTGAAAATATTAATTGTGGTCAACGGAAAAATGTTCAATTTGACGAAAAATATATTGTTCTTTTTGTTGTCTATAGACATTTTCTAAATTTGTTTATTTGATGTCTCTCTCCCTTTTTTTGAATACTTATGTCTCTCTTCCTGTTTAAGTTCGTTTCCGCATTATTATCATTACCAGCATCACACCACATCATCACCACCACCACCACACGACAACCACCATAATTATCGTCACCAACACCACCTCATATTATTATTATAATGGAAAATGTCAAACAAGCCCCTAAATTTTACCTGAAAAGTCAAATAGGTACCTAAGTTTTAAAAAGTAAAATTACACCCATTAACATGTCAAATTGAAGTAATGAAGTCCAAGAACCGGTAAATGACTTGTTATTGCAGATCATTTCAATTCAAGCATCAATCCGACGAAAATCCGTCAACCGCGGCCATCGCCGGTTTCCATCTACCAGAGAAGGCGACCAACTGGCTACCTTCCATCGGGGAAGGTGACCAACTGGTCGCCTTCTCCGGTGAATGCGACTTTTTGGTCGATGGCAATGTTTTCTGGTCAGATTTCTTTGGACAACAACAACAAATATAGTCAACGGTATAAATTTACCGGTAACCTTTTGGTTACCGGTAAATTTGACCCAAAAAAAAAAAAAAAAGAAGCATGTTTGATGATTTAATTGCACTTTTTTAAAGTTGAGGTGCCTAATTGATTTTTGGTGTAAAATTTACGGGCCTATTATAATAATAATAATAATAATAATAATAATAATAATAATAATAATAATAATAATAATAATAATAATAATAATAATAATAATAATAACAAATAGAGTTAATTCCATTTTTTGTCCTAGATTTATATATAGGTGGCAATAATCCATTTTTAGTTCTTATATTTCAGAACATCCATCTTTGGTCCTAGTATTATTGTGGTCTGACCATTTTAGTCATCCGTCAATAAAATCATGAAATATCATTAAATACAATATTATTTCGATCATTTTTATACAAAGTGGATTAACCGACTATATTTTTATTTTTATTTTTTTTTGAAAAAAATCATAATTGAAAACTCAAATGCCCTTATATTTTACGAAATTAAACGGGTTTGTTGATGGAGGACCAAAAGTGGTCATGCCACAATAATACGATGACCAAAGAATGATGGTTTGAAAAAAAAAAAGGACTAAAAGTGAAATGCCAACTATAAATCTAGCTACAAAAATGAAATTAAATCTAACAAATAATATGTTCATTTTTAAAAAAATGAACCAAATAGAAAAATATATTTCTTAATTTTTAGCTATACATGAAAAATAATTTTATGACATTCAACCAAATACTAAAAAATTAAAATATTTTTCAAAAAATAGTCATTTTTTAAAAATTATTTCAAAAAAATATTTGAGGGTTTTCAAATGAATCCAGTAGAAAAAATGTTGTATTTTAACTTTTAACCAAACACCTAAAAATGTTTTTTTGTTTGTTTGTTTGTTTGTTTTTTGTTTGTTTGTTTGTTTTTTTTTTTTTACAGAATATTTTCTGTATTTCCAAACAGTCCTTACTCAAACACGTATACCAAACCGTTAAGATGGGCCATATTGGACCTAATTCAGAATGGGCATTGACTTAATAAGTATGGTAAAAATGTTAGTTTTTTTTTTTTTTTTTTTTTTTTTTTTTTTTTTTGTGTGGCTTTATTGGATATGTGCCAGCCCAATTCCTAACGAAGGCCCATAAGAAATCAACATATAAGCTCAATTTATGAAATTTCAGTTTTACTTTATTATTTTGCTATTATTATACGCACAAAACACAAAGTAAGTGTTTAATATTATTATTCAATATTATATTTATGGTTATATTTAAATATTTTGTTAATAAATAATAAGTAAATAAAGTCTCAAGTTGCATAATATTATATTACAATAATTAATTATTTTCATAATGTTTATATTCACATTGAAAAAAAGAAAATGATAATTGAAAAAAATTGAGTTACATAAGTAATATGCAAAGTTATAAAAACACTATATATAGTCATTTTAAGGCTGCAGTATTATTTATATTTAGTCAATGATTTTTTTTTTTGAGAAAGAATAATTAATTCATTAAATCATGAATAAGAGTGTTCACAAGGAAAGATGGAGGAGAATCAAACCATTCCCCGCAACCTGATACAGAAAAGGCCTCCCTAGCAACATCATGGGCAGCACTATTCGCATATCGCTTCACACAGTAGAATTCAACATCTAAACTTTAATGTCCTCAATTAAAAAACCAAAACTAGAATTAAAAGACAGTGATCGCAAAGCATTAAACACGGTTTGACAGTCTGTTTCCACATCAACATCTCCCAAATGGTTAGTCATTGATTTTAGTATTCATTCTTTCCAAATGGTTGAACCTCAACCCTAAGGGCCTTCCACACTCCAGTCCGACAAAGTATCTAGGAGGATGTAAATCATGATAACTCAATTGAACACGAACCACAGAGGCTAGACCTTTGCTCACTGCGCAATATAACAACAGATCTAATTATATCTATGTAAGGACAACTTTTTGGGTGATGAGAGAAATCTGCAACCATTATCAGAGAGTAAATCTTGTATTGTGATTCTAGTAAGTAAATGACCACGATGAGATAAATGCATAAGTTATATATAGTTGACCGACTCAAACAAAAAAGGTAAATATATATTTCCTGTTGAGAATCGAACTTAGAATCTTATAGTTACCAAATCAACAAACTTGGTTGAAGTTGTACCTAGGACATTTATCCAATAAATGCTCGCATGGGCAGCTCAGTAGGTCACATGGGTGAAGTTTGAGAACAATGACCCGGATTTGAGTCTCACCAGAGCAATCTCTCAAAGTGAGGGGACTCATTGTGCACAGTAAACAAATATCTAGCCTCTGTGTTCAGCTGAGTTACCATGATTTAAATTCTTCCAGATGCTCTGTCGAGCCTGAACATAGGGCCCCTTGAGGGTAAAGATTTAACCTTTTAAGAACAATTTTTATCCATGTATCGTACAACATTTAAAGTATATTATATATATTTAGCGCTCAAAAAAAAAAAAAAAAAAACAGACAAGATAACACTACAAAATTATGGTGACCCATACATTTTTTTATATTTGTTTTTTTGGGGGGTTAAAATAATTCAGCAGACCTCAGCCGCTGTTAAATTGGTGCTCTAAATTAAGTCGTTGCGGTGGTTAGTCAGTTGGGGCAGCGCGGCTCAACAACATTGGCGCCTTTTCATTAGTTAATGTAACTACTATTTTTGACACTTATTGAGCCGCGATTACAATATTCCATTTGTCTTGGGATATCCTCGCCTCCTTGCTCATCACCAATCACCAGGCCAAATCATTCCGACCACCTCCTCCGATCTTCCCTTGAGATATCCTCGCAAAGGAAGCGGGGAGGACATACACTTCATGTAATCTACTTTTTTTCTATTCCATTTTACTCCATTAATTTGTCATTTCAGCTCCTTTTCAAATTATTTTCTTATAATTTATGGATCAATTCACAAGATAATGATGTTGGAGGGATTATTGAATACTTAGCTTACTGGTTAAAATAAAAAATGGGTGCTGTTATGATCAGGAGAAACAGAGTTAAACGATTAATTTAAGATAACTATATAACTTGTTTCATAATCACGATTCTCAAAATTCGATAATATCAACTTTTTGTTTGTGAAACATTACGTGAATAAGACCAACTTGCTTACAATGGAAGTTTTATTCAAGATAGATCCTATGATTTGCTTTTCTTTGCCTCTTTTTTTTTTTTTTTCCTAAACAAAAGTCTTATTAAATTAAAAGTTACAAATATGTTTGTAGCTTTTCATTTAGAAACTCGCAATCTAGTAGCATATTTGCATTTTTGATTGCAGAATTTCTGTGAGTTACACTGTCGAGTTAACTTAAAAGTTATACCATTGCAGAATTTCTTTATTGTAGCTTAAAAGTTACACCATCGAGTAATTGCTGCGAGTGACTGAAAATATGACATTGCATAATTTGTATAATATTACTGAGTTGGTTGAGAGTAGTGTATAGTATGAGCAATTGGGTTATATGATTGTTCTTCCAAAAGGCTGAACCCTAATCCTAAGGGCCCCCACACTCTGACCTGAGCAATTGTATTAATTATATGGTTATATGGTGGTAATGAGTATAAATGCATGGAGCCCAGAGGGGAAATGGGAGTCATGTCTGATCCCACCAATCAATTATATTAATTATGATGATGTTATAATATATATATTCATTAATGATATCTTTAACCATTAGTAAACCGGCCATAATGGCGTTAGTTATTCTCATTTATCTGCAACAAAAAGGAGCAGAGAGAGAGAAAGAATCATTTGTCGGTTTCCTGCGAAGACAATCGCTACATTTTACTTTGTTTACGTACCCAGAAAGCGCACTTTGCATATATATATTTATTGCAGTCTTACACAGTTACACTAACATGTAAGCCACCTACTCCTTCACAATTATTTGTCCCATTTTTTTCTTCAGGGTGGTTCACCTATAAAGCCTGCCAGGCTGCCACCCCTTTTTATCTATATGTATCTGTATATCTCTACATTTATCCCTTTATCTTCGAGATTTTTTGGGTTCTGCAGAGACTGCCATCTTTTACTATTGGTATGTTTGTTTCGGTTTCTTGAAATGGGCAATGAATAAATGCTTTCTTCTTTGCTGTTATTTGCTGGGTATTTAAGGTTCAGTTTCAGAAATGCTTTTTTTTTTTTTTCTTGCTGTTTTAGGAAGCATTTTTTCTTGGGTGCCATGAAAAGGGCACTGTTAAAATTGTGTAAAAATTGAATCTTTATTGTGTGGTTTGATTTGTTTGTAGAATACATGATGGTGGTCGCTGCTGATTTACTGGGCAAGGCTGGGTTTTGGGCGATTGGGTTTTGTTTGATTGTGGTATCAGCTGCTGCTGCTTCTGGTGGTGCCAATGAGCGATTGAATATATGGCCCATGCCCAAATATGTGAGCCATGGCCACCATAGACTGTATTTGAGCGATGGGTTTGAGCTCAAGACTAATGGGAGCACCTATTTGGATGGTTCTGGGGTTCTCAAGGATGGATTCTCTAGGATACTTGAGGTTATCAGAGGAACCCATGCTGTTAATGGCAGTGTTGCTGGTTTTAACCAGTCTCACGTCCTTAAGGGGATCCATGTGGTTGTTCTTTCAGCCAGTGATGAGGTACAGCTTCTGGCCTATGCCCACTTCACCTGGTGTGGGGAGGTGTAGTTTTACTTGCCCACAAAAGGCGAAATCCTTAGCCCCGGGCTCCCACATCTCAGTTCGACATGATCTGTGGAGGTGGTAAATCACAGTGACTTAGCTGTTCATTAGGTGGGAGGAACAGTGCCTGGTGCCCACAAGGAGCTCACCGCATTGGGTGTAACTCCCACACTGCGGTGGCTAGGCTTGATCTTGTGTCCTTGCCCACAATCTGTCATCAGGGACCAAAGGCAAAATCCTTAATCCCATGCCTCCGCATCTCAGTCCGACCAGTGCCTGGTGCCCAAAAGGAGCTCACCGCATTGGGTGTAACTCCCACACTGCGGTGGCTAGGCTTGATCTTGTGTCCTTGCCCACAATTTGCCACCGGGGACCAAAGGCGAAATCCTTAGTCCCAGGGCCCGAGATCTCGGTCCGATATGATTTGTGGATGTGGTAAATCACAGTGACTTAGCAGTTCATTATGTGGGAGGACCAGTGCCTGGTGCCCACAAGGAGCCCACTGTATTGGGTGTAACTCCCACACTGCGGCTGCCAGGCTTGATCTTGTGTCCTTGCCCACAATCTGCCACCGGGGACCAAAGGCGAAATCCTTAGTCCCGGGCCCCACATCTTGGTCCGACATGATTTGTGGAGGTGGTAAATCACGGTGACTCAGCGGCCCATTAGGTGGGGGACAGTGCTTGGTGCTCACAAGGAGCCCACTGCATCAGGTGTGACTCCCACATTGTGGCTGCCAGGCTTGATCTTGGGTCCTTGCCCACAATCTGCCACCTGGGACCAACTGATCTACCCGTGAGGGTGGGCGGGAGGGAGGCGTTTTGCTTGTTAGGTCATAGGTGGAGTTGTTTTAGTGTTTATGCTCTGAACTAAATAGCATCATATGCAATGCAGCTGCAGCATGGCATCGACGAGTCCTACCACTTGACTGTACCCGATATTGGAAGTTCGCTATATGCATATCTCAGGGTGGGTGTCACCAGGTTTGTTGCATTCGTAGATTAACACCATTGGTGATCTCCATTTAGGAGACTTCCATAGTTCCATGCCTTGCTTAAGTGCAACCTGTGACACCACTATCCTATTTATGCCCTTTGTGATTAAGTTTTGGCAAGTGGGCTGTGTTTGGAAATGATGGAGTTCTTTCTATTGACTGAAACTCTACTGCAAAGATAGAACCATAGTTTTGGGAATAATGCATTATATTTGACTGATAGGAAGAGATGGATACAAAGTGGCAAAAGAATACACACATAATTTCCCTGTGAACTTGTTTAATGCATAAAATTTGGTTAAGTGTACTTCAAAAGCTTAAATTTCTGAGCATTGTAGTTCTGATGCAGGCACAAACAGTTTACGGAGCCTTGCACGGGTTGGAGGTTTAGTGTTTTCTCTATCTCCCTAAGAGACGTTACTTTTTTTTTTTGAGTACTACTGACTCAGTTACTTTGTTGTGTCACAGACGTTTAGTCAAATTTGCCAGTTCGACTTCACATCCAGAGCTTTCGAAGTTCGTCAAGTACCATGGACTGTTTTGGATCAGCCTCGGTTTCCCTATCGAGGGCTTCTAATCGGTGAGATTCTTTTGCTACTGCTTAGCATTTCAAAGAGTCTAACACCCTTTGCATGATGCAGATACGGCCCGACATTATCTTCCACTTCCAGTAATAAAGAAAGTTATTGATTCCATGACATACTCAAAACTGGTATGTAACATTTTTTTCGATTGCAGATATCTCGTGACCACATATTAATCAAAGCTCTGTTTTGTATAGAATGTATTGCATTGGCACATTGTGGATACACAATCTTTCCCACTCGAGATACCTTCATATCCAAAACTGTGGAATGGTGCTTATTCTAGTTCAGAGCGGTACACAACAGGTGACGCTACTGAGATTGTAAGGCAAGTTATTTCGATCTTCTGATCTATTTGTCTTATCTCTTAGCTTTTCCGGTAAAACTTTGTCTTTACTACATCGTCCTAATTCAAACGTAAGAGTTGCAGATATGCACAAAGGCGGGGAATCAATGTATTGGCTGAAATTGACGTTCCAGGACATGCACAATCATGGTAAAAAAAATTAAAAAATTGAAGCATGCGCTTCATCTCAACTAAAAACCTAAGCTGATAGTTGAGCGGACCATAGTCGCTTATAGGGTGACGTAGAGATTCGAACTCTGATACCAAATTGAAGCATGTGCTCCATCTCAACTAAAAGCCTAAGCTGATAGTTGGATTGCACATTAATGGTTATATGCTCAACAATGGCAACAAGGCATAAGGCTATAGAACGTGCAAATTGTATATGGCTAAGTGGCTAACGCTTGTCTACATTTTAGGGGTGTTGGGTATCCTACATTATGGCCATCAAGAGATTGTCAACATCCATTAGATGTAACCAGTAATTTCACCTTCAAAGTAATAAATGGAATTCTCTCAGGTAATTTTTCCCGCTTCATGGCAAATTTTCACTAGTAGAATAGACATAAACAATGAGAAATTGACTTGTTAAAAATTTTCTATCTCAGATTTCAGTAAGATCTTCAAATACAAATTTGTTCATCTCGGGGGAGATGAAGTGAATACAAGTGAGTTTTATGTTCAGGGTTTTTGGCTTTACAGATCAAGAATAGAATTTACTGAACCACGCGATTTTGGTTTTAACTGCAGCTTGCTGGACATCGACTCCTCGTATAGAGAAGTGGTAACAATCCTAAACTTCTCGAGTTCCTTTAACAAACAAATTTAGGGAAACGGGTGATGGAACGTGACAGTTGAGGATATACACAGTTTACACACTCGTTATCTGCCATTTTTCAGTTAGCTTCTAAATTTTTTCGAGTATAGGCTACAGCTTGGTGAGCTTTAGCGTTTCCGTGTGGTCTGAGTTATTGCGTTTTATCTGACACGAGGAATTTGAAATTTGGTATACCTGTCAGGTTAAAGACACGCCATTTCGATGGACAACAGGCATACCAATATTTTGTCTTGCAAGCACAGAAGATAGCTCTATCTCATGGATATGAAATTATAAACTGGCAAGACTGCTAAAACTTTGTAAATTTTAAGGTTTTTTCTCGTGTTTATAATTCGTGTTCAAAATGTGCAGGGAAGAGACCTTCAACAATTTTGGCAACAAGTTGAGTCGCAAAACTGTTGTCCATAACTGGTATGCCCCCTTTCTAACTCTCGCTTTAAACAGAACAAGCGTAATCCTGATAATGTAGGACAGGGCTCATGGATTGAGATCGGTTCTCTCAGATCATCTCTCCCCGATATAGTATCCATTCCAAAAATTTAAGATCGGTCTGGAGCTCTTATTAACAAGGATCAATCTTAAATCTAACGTTTCCAACAGGCTCGGGGGTGGTCTGGCTCAGCAAGTGGTTGCAGCTGGACTGCGGTGCATTGTGAGCAACCAGGACAGATGGTATTTGGATCACTTAGATGCTCCGTGGGATGGTTTTTACTCGAACGAGCCACTGGATAACATCACAGACCCAAAGCACCAGGCGCTGGTTCTTGGCGGGGAAGTATGCATGTGGGGAGAGAACATTGATGCTTCAGATATCGAGCAAACCATATGGCCCCGTGCTGCAGCTGCTGCAGGTATTCTTTTCCTCGCCTCACGCCTAAAATCTCTGCACAATTCCACACCCACCCCCCCCCCCCCCCCCAACCCTCGTACCACACTTTTTTTTTTGAATGTCACTGACTCTATTACAATGTAGTATTTGTTCATACATACTTTCTCAACCTAAAATGTGCTAATTAACTCGTGTTTTGATGATGTTGGTGGATAAAGAGAGGCTGTGGACTTCGTCTGAGAACCTCCCGGATGATCCAAATAAAGTTGCGGGAAGGCTGGCACACTTCAGGTGTTTGTTGAACCAACGAGGTGTGGCTGCAGCGCCACTGGTCGGATCTGGGCGAGGTGCCCCGGAACAGCCAGGATCTTGCCATTTGCAGTAGTGGTAGTTAGGTCTGTCATTTTTAATTTTTGTCTGTTGGTTCCAACACTCTAACTGAATAAACGACCTTGCACCACATATGTACTAGGGAACTGTCCATAATCAATTGAAATTTGAAAAGCACTTGGGAAAAAAAAACCGTTTTCTCTATTGTCTCATTATTCCAAACCCACTTCATTTTTGTACACAAAAAAAAAAATGCTAGAGCTACACAGTTCAGGGTTTCCACGGCGGTGGCGGGGGCGGATTCGCCGGGTAAAGCGGCGGAATGTTGGAGAAGATGGAGTTCTTGTCGACCCCGGAGGGGCCGGTGGTGGTAAGGGACACCAGCGCCGCCACCAAGCCTGCATTTCCGGCCAACGTCAGCTCTGTAAAGCCGAAACTGGTGCGGGAATCTTGGAACTGATCAAACCGGTTGGGGCCTCCGACCATGGCGCCTGTGATGTTGTTTGGATTAGGTTTTTTGGTGTCTCGCCATTTCCATCCGCCGGTGCACGAGTACTTGATCCTGTTGTTCGGTGTCGATGCGCCGCGGTGATGAACGTGCCTGGGAAACCTGCTCCCATAGCCCACCACGTAGCTGAACTTCAATGGATTCTCGCCTAAAATATAATTAATCTGCGTTTTCCAAACAAGCAAAATAAACCACAAATTAATCATTCCCACTACTTCCAAATTTCCAATGCAAGGCGTTAAATGTTTGAAGTGATGAGAGAAATTGCAGTTACTATTATCCAAGTTTGATCGGCTCAAACTAAATCAAGAATGTGTGATTACAAGTTAACAGTCTGACTAATTTGGCTGGTTGCAGAAATTAATGTTCTTGATTGTTAAGATATAAGTTAAGAAACCTGGGAAATCGCAAAACCCTGAAGAACATCCAAGGGTATAAAGTAAGGACCACAATTCATGCCTGGAACATCTGTCACTTCCATGTAATCAGCAAACAGAGATGCCAAGAACGCTGCATTCACTACATACTGCAGAGGTTGCCCCTGCCCATGGTTCAACTGTATCAGCCCCCCTGCAAATCAAATCATTCCCCCTTTTAACATCACCATATTCACCATAAATAACGAGCAAAACAACAGTCATTATCCAAGAATTTACATGAGTTAAACCTCACATTGCAATCTAGCCTAGCTGACTGACTTAAACCAAAAAGATCAGTAAACTCGAATCAAAAGAAAATGAAAAATTACCTTTAGTGAAGTTGAAGACATGAAATTGTTGCAAGTAAGAGCACATGGTTAGAGTAGTGACATTGTGATAGCTCTGCAACATTTCTTCATAGGGATAACCCGGATTCAAAACTATCCTCAACCTAGTCAAGAGCAGCATAGCCCCGGGCAGCTTGTTATCCCAGCTAAAGACACTCAAATCCGGGATAACTACCAACGCATTTGCGTTCTTAGCCATTTCAGGATTAGTCGCCAGCGAAATGTAGCTATTATTCCCGGTGGCATAGTACAACCAAACGGCGCTCCACATGAACTCGTCAAAGTAGCTGGTGGAGTTATAGTACGTCTCGATGTACGGATTTCCGCGGCTGTACGGCGTTCTTTTGCCTCTGTCCCTGGCAAATGCGTACACGGTTTCCGCACCTTTAGCTAGCTTGGCGGAGTATACGGCGTTGTCGCGGAACACGATGGAAGCTGCCGCTAACGCCGCCGCCATTTCTCCGGCAAGGTCCGGCCCGGAGAATGCTGTTTGGACTGGGCGTGGATACGCCATGTCCTCCGGCCGTTGCCAGCAGTAATGATCGTCCGGTGTTTTTGAACCGTTTGTGGACCCACCGACCTACAATTAAACCAATAATTTTTTTTCCGATATTTAATTCGATTTATTTGAAACTCCGACTGAAAAATTAGGTTTACCTGGCTGTAAATTTTGTCGATTGTGGAGGCGGAGGAGTTGAAAGTTCGGAGGAGGTAATCGGTGCCCCACCGGATGAGGTCCCGGACGTGATCATACTCTCCGGCGGCTCGAAACTTGTGCTCATACTCAATCACACTCCAGCTCAGCATCGTCATCGCGAACGACATCGGAAAATGGAACTTAGTGTTGTCTCCGGCGTCATAGTAGCCTCCGATCAGCCCTCCCTTGACGTCCGTGAGTTTGGATCCGTCGCCCAGCCCGGAATCCCTTCGCCACGGAATGCCATTGTTTTTTGGCAGCTTTCCAGCTACAATAACATCATGTAATCAACGTATACGTCACAATTGCAAAAGCCATATATGCACGCATTTCACTTCTTAAGATATTAAAAAAAAAAAAAAAAAACCTAGATTTAGCTCACTGATTCAATGAGCAGTGTATTTAAGAAGAGAATAAAATTTAAACATTGGAAGTGACAGTGTGAAATTATATTTAAAGTGGACAGATTTTTTGTGTGCACTATATTTGTGACAATATATGTCAAGTTTTAAAATTTGAGAGAAAATATTTACACTATTAATAATTCAGGATGAGATTAATAATTGACATATTTATAGATGCATAAATTATAATTTTTTGTAATTTAAAACAATAAATACACTAAGATCAAAATTTTACCAGTAAAATACCATTAAAAATTTGAAATAATTTTATACGATGTCATTATTATTATTATTATTATTTAATTAGTGGGTAGATTATAGTCCTTTTATTTACATCAGCATTTAATTTATTACTATCTATTTTCCTAAAGTCAAACCAATGCTTATGCATTATCTTAACAAACTAATGCTAACTGCTAAGACTCGACGACATGAAAGCGATGCAGGCATGCAGCCCAAAAGATTTTTCCTTTTTAAATTTGATTTACTTGAAAACTCAAAGCCACCCCTTAAAAGTGAGCTTTGCGTATAATCTATCTTCTTACTTTAGCCGCCAGACTTTTTCTCCTAAATGGTTGAATCTCCAAATTCAAAGCAACCTTACACTCTGGAATCCAACAGAGCATTTGAGACGATTTAAATCACGATAACTTAATAGCTCAACAGATAAAGTTAAATGCTAGTCACTTCCGCTGTTGAAGTTTAAACATTGGTCTCTTCTCTCAAATATTGTCTACTGAATCAGTGGGCTAAGCTCCGTGTGGACACTAAAAAGAACCCTGTTGTTACTAACCAACTCGACTAGAGTTCTAAAATTTTTATTTTTAATTTGTTTGACATGGTAAATATAATAATAATAATTTTTTTTAAAAAAAAAAATAGTGATATGATATTCTAGATATGTAATTTTACCTCAAAAGAAGTATAATACTCCGTGGTAAGTTTGACGTGTTCAAGTGGGGCCCGATACCATCATAGAACATGCAAAATTCAAATAAGGTGTAGAGTGCGTGTTTGGTACCTTTAGCCGGCGGGAATCCGCAGATCGCCGAAACAAACAGCACCCACGGCGATCAACGTGAATGGTAAAGAGCAAAAGTTGGTAAAATCAAACAAACATTAATTTTCTACTATATATGGAACATTAGACCAAGTAAAAAATCTACCTTGACTTGGTAAGTCCTAATTTTACCAACCAGATTCCACGTAAGTCCTACGTTGATGCATGAATGAATTGAATAGTGAGTACCCAACATTTATCATGCTTTCATAATGTTATTATTAATGCCATTGTTGGAATAATAATTTTGATTTGACTCGGTAATAAGAATAATATCTGAGTTGTAACGTTAGATAATAATTCTTTATTTGACCGAGTAACATTTTGGTTGTTATGTGTTGAATCTAGCTAATTAAGAATTATGATTTCTTTTCACTTTTGGACCCCGACTAATAAGATATTTATCTGGAATGAAGATTTTTTCCACTTTTGATCGCTCGGCTATGGTATTTCTTCTAAATAATAATTGTTATCATATTTAGTCAATCAACTATGATACATCTCCTAAATAATCCCTAACTATCAAGATTTTTAATTTTGGTACGTGCTACCATTCAATTTCTTCTCCATTTTGATTCCTCATTCAATTTTTAAGTCAACTTTTCAGTAGTACCTTTGGTCCCTGGTTTTTATTTTTCATTTCGAGTTCTACTTGACTAGTTGAATATTTTCTTTTTGATACCCACAATTGAATGAGGGACCAAATGTATAGTCACGCATCAAAATTAAAAATCTTAGAGGGTATTAGTGTTGAAAAGTAAAAATAGGGTTGGGGGGAGGGGTACGTACATTTTTGAGCGTTGAAGAAGAGGAGGGCCTTGTGGAGGGCAAGGGAGTAATTATCGGGCGGCGGAGGGCGGGGGTGGTGCTTGGGCAAAGCTTTGGCGATGATGGTGGGGAGGGCGACGACGAGGAAGGTGACGACGATTCCCCAGAAGGTATACTTGAGGGCCTTCTTGCTGCAGACGATGCACCCCAAGTCAACGTACTTGTTCTTCTTCCGCTCCGGCGGCCCCAGCAGCCAGCTCTGCTGCGTCTCGTCCAGGTGGTTCCTGGCGGCGCCGGCGCCGGCGTAGTGGTGCTGCTGCGTCGCCGACGCCCTGTCCCACTCCGCCGTGTTCCGGCTCGCCCGCTCGTAATCCTCCGACGTCGACGACTCCCCGTTCTGGATCTCCAACGGCCCTCCCCACTGATGCCCTGAATGCATTCTTTTCTATATATTCTTCTTAATTATTTCTCTTCTATTGATCGATTGATTATTTCAATTCGCTCCGATCTCTACCGTTTCAGAATCTTGGAAAATGCATGTGAAAATCCACTCATTTTCCAAGACCAAGACGAATTGAAGAGGGATAGACTGAGACTTATATATATATATAGAATTAATTTCACTTTTGGTCCCACGACTTTTGATGTTCTATCACTTTTGGTGCACAACTTTAAAAATTTTTAATTTTGGTGCCTAACTTTGTTATTTTTATCAGTCTTGGTCCTTTCGGCCAAATTGACAGCGAAATGTTACTGGATTTTATATTGTTAGGGGTAAATCGTCATCCCAAGGAAACATTTTCAATATCTAAACAAAATCACTGTAAAATCATATCTATAGGTGTTTGACGATGAAAATAATGGGGAAGACGGGCAGAAACCAGACAGATCTATGGGATTTATAGTTTCGACCATTGACAAACTCTTCTTTTCCTCTTAATATGATTTTTCTTTTGTTTAAATATTGAAGATCTTTCCAT